GGGCCTCAGATACTAATAAGAGCCTTTAGGACCTTTAGGAAAATCAGGGTGAATGCTATGAATTGAATTTGATACAAGGACACTATGAAATATAGTGATCGATGCATGAAACCTTGGTAAGATCATCAAAGGTAGCCAAATAAATGTCGTTAGTGAAATACAGTACAGGCCGAATCTCATGCAAAAGGACAAAATTTGCGAAAGATTGACAATCACTCGCAAACCGGCATTAACACATGCACGCAAACTTTGAAATGATAATGAACCAACTTGAGCGAATCTATCACTTAAAAGCAACATAAAGAGTACTGATTGTTTGTTTAGAAGTACTAACTTTTTAAGGAAGCCTCAAGTCCCGAAAATGTGATAAATAGCTACAAATTTACTTGACCCAATTGTGAAAAAAACTCGCGGCATTCGGCGGGATTTGAACCCGCATAGTAAGGAAGGCCGTTATGCGAAGCCAACGCTCTACCAGTTGAGCTAAAAATGCCACACCTAGACCCGATCGTGAAAAAACTCGCAGCATTCGGGTCAACTAAATTAAGCAAATATGCCAACCCTCCTAAATAAGTAGCTATAAATTCCCCCCAACAAATGTAAATACAATCGGTAGGTGAAATCGTAACCATACCACTTTCAATATATTACAGGAAATTTCCTTTCGAAAAAGTTATTTAAAGGTATTTTTTAAGGTTTTGGATTACAAATAGTTTCAGATCATCTTTTATCTTCCAGTATAATTTCAGCGATTATCGGTGTTTCCAAGATTCCTTCCATACATGTAAGTTCTCTTCTATGTGCATCTCAACACCCATAAGATTAGTTCTTAAAAGAATTTACCAAAAGCGCGACTTTTGGATATTAGTTCTTATAAAGATGGCAATGTGGGCCATATTTATGAATTTCCCAAGACACCAAAACATATTGTCGAGCAAACAAAACGTCCACAAGAGAAGTCTTATGTTTCAATGCTTTCAATAATATGTTAGCTCCTTTAAAAGCTCTTAAATTAACTACTCAGTTCTCCCATAGCACAAGGCAAAAAAAATTAAAGTTTTGGCCCGTGGTGCTAACTAGCAGGGGAAATTTGTCCAATATCAGGCTACCTCCCATTTTGTCAAAATTCATGCCTATTTCTCTTAAATAAAGTGGACTAAACAGGCAGTTTTCCTCTGCTAAAAGGCTTTGTTTGGATCAAATCCCCTCATCAGCTCAAAACAACGAAAACGAATGTATGCTAGACTGCCGGTTCCAAATTCGACCACGACTTTGCACTGTCACCATGCAGATGGAGGGCCGACTGAATGTTATACCGGCAAGAACAACGATGTCCACCGTTTGTCCTTCAGCGAGGTGAACGCAGGGACGATGAATTGTGTGTGAATTTGTTTATGGCGATGACAATCGTGCGCTGCGTCTATCGTACTGTCTCCTCCTTAACCAAACCGAGACTGGCGTTAAGGTGGAGCCCCTGTAGCGGTTCTGTAGCCCACCTCCTTCAAACGCGAGACACCACAGACGTGGTCTCGCAGTGACAATCTTTGTCGCCCAGTCGCACTCGACCCAGCGCGATGGCCGATGTCCGCATGTGACGCGCAACCTTTGCCCTCGCGCGAATGGGGCGCACACACGCATCCCAAACTGTTCGGGCCAATCGGTATCCTGACGCTGACTCACATAATGCTCGCTCTGGGCACTTAGAACCCAGCTAGCCTCCTAGCTGGTCGTGCGCTGCGAAGTCAAACTTCTTCCCGCTTATTTTCCATTCCTCTGTATACGGAATAAATGATTCCTATTACTCTGGCCTCCACTGACTTCTTTTCTCCTAAGGAACCATAGTCTGAAGATCGCAGTTGCTAGGATTTAACTCACTTAACCCCTTGCGATACCTCAAAGATGGGAGGCATGGCTGGTAAACGTAAGCAAAACGTCCACACATGACATACACACTAACTTAATCCTCGCAGGATGGAGCAGGTTTTCCCAGAAACATCGAAAAGAGGCGGCTCGTATCCCAGCAGGGTGGGGCCGACCACACCACAATAGCCGAACGGAACACCCTTCTCTTCCTCATGGCACCCTGATCTTAAATCTCGGCTGATTTTTCTCAGACGACCGAGGAGTCTC